TGCTGCCTTATAGCTTAAACATACTGGTAAACATCATCCTCAGCTTTTAAAACACTTTTTAAAAATCACCATTCTGAAGAGGGAGAAGAAAAAAAGCAGAAAATCAGACCCTTGTCTTGGAAAGATGAACTTTATGAAATTTAGGAAAGATAAGGCCCATACTCTGAAAAGCATATTGACAGGTAAAGGATCACCCAGAAAATCCTTTGCTTTAATATTTCTCACTGCCTACAATGTTCTAAAACTCATCTGGTGTGTCAGTAACACTTGTACAGCTCAAACCTAGAAAACCAAATAATCCTATTAAAGAGAAACAGGAAATGATAAATGGAAAATACAATTTAACTACCACTTAGTATTTGGAAACCAATTGGTTAACAATGGACTGGAAAATGTAACTGTTAATGTAGCAATAATGTGTTAAGCACATTCTTAACTTTAAGGTAAAGGACAGTATCAACACAGATTTTTGCTGTCTACCCAAGTATGACAATAAGACAGGATGTCAACATGTCTGGACCCACGTAAGCCTTTTTCCAATGAAGCAAGTACAAATTTAAATTATGGTCATTACTGTCAGATGGCAACAGGTGGGAGCTTCCACATGCCAAAAGCATACGCAAGAAGGAAAAGAAAGTTTAAACAGAACAATAATATAATAGGCCTGAGTAAACAAGCACCATTGAAGAAAACTCTGGCTGACTTCGTTTCCTCTTGGTAACACAGTATATGCATTCACTTTATTCCTGAATAGACTGCCAAATCCTGGAGCCAATATTTATAATTTTGATGCTCCAATCAGTCAGACATTTTTAAGAAAAACTGGGATGATTTTGCCAAATTCTTGGTCCTAATTCTCTAAAGGGCGTTAAAGGCATTGACCGTTTCAGAACCTAAATACCTTTTACAAAGGAGGCACTAACTATCTCCTTTGTCATTAAATGCAAGTACACAGAGTGAAGAGTGGATTCCTGGAGATTGGGCTGACAGAAACATTACCTGATGTGAGCCGCTTTAGTTTAGCTTTAATTTGTCACTGTAACAATGTTTAAAGCACAAAATAACCCTAAAACTGATCTGGGATACAATACCAACTGAGACAAAAGATTTAGGATGTCACACCAGTAAAAATACTAATGATATTTCAGTAGTTTACACATTGGAAAATAAGTGAAACATGGTAATCATGCATTATATACCTTCCCATCCAAAGACTAGCTTGACAAGATGTTACAGAGGATGAGTTTTCATCAGTTTCT